CTTTACCCCCTGATATCAGTATGCATATTCTCCATACTGTTTCCTTACATTTCCTAAGGTGCTGACAAAGAGAATTTGTCTTACAATCAAGAGCATCTTTAGATAGTGATCATTCCCTTTATTCTAATGACCTTAATTTTTGATTCAGGGGTGATGCTGTGAAAAAACTTTTGATACAAGTCACTCTCAGAGGTCAAACTAAGCCAACAAAAAACAAAAAAAAAAGAAATGAAATGAAACTGTTATTACATGACAAATTCAACTTTGTTTAATTTCTTCTTGTTGCCTTGAGCTATTCATAAACTATTTTGCTGTTTGGTTTCATTACATTTAGTCATGTTAGAAATCATTATTTATTCCTCTTTCAAAAAGAACCATTTCTGGCCCTCCCTCTTCTTAAAGATTCAAGTAGTATTGAAGGTGATATTATTTTGGCACATGGATAGAGATTGTCTAATTTGGTTTTATGAAGGAGAAGGCAAATACCAAAAGCACAATTTCTGTGATACCATTGAAATCCTATTAGAGTGAGACAAATACTTTGCATACTACTAATTGTTACAATGTCACAATCTCTTTTTGCTAACAGGCTGTAGAACAGTTAAACCTTAAAACCAAGAACTTCAAAGACCTTTTGACAGATGAAGCATTTACTCGCAAAGACATTATTACTATTCAGGTAAGCTTTACTATTAGGACTGAATGCCGTAGAAGAACTGCTAAGAACTGCTAAGAACTGCTAAGAACTGCTAAGAACTGCCTTCCGGTTAGCTCAATGGATAGAACGCTGGACTGCTGTGTGGGAGGTCGAGGGTCCAAGCCCCGGCCGGACCAACACTCAAGGTCTTAAAATAATTGAGAAGAATATGCTACCTTTCTATAACATCAAGAAATGGTTAGATATTCTAGTCTTCTCGGATAGGGACGAATAAATGGAGGTCCCGTCTCCTACAGGGTTAGGGGTAGGAGACGTTAATTTCCCACGCACGAGATTACTGTGTGATGGATGTCCTCCCCTGGGGTGGGATGGGTGGGAGGACATCCATCACACAGTAATCTCGTGTGTGGGAAATTAACGTCTCCTACCCCAACCCTGCAGGAGACGGGACCTCCATTTATTCGTCCCTATCCGAGAAGACTAGAATATCTAACCATTTCTTGATGTTATAGAAAGGTAGCAAATTCTTCTCAATTATTTTTAAGACCCTGAGTGTTAAGTCCTTGTGACTCAAAAGCTGACACAAATTGAACTAAAGTCATCGAAGCAATCCTTCCTGAGCCATTAAGACCGATGTCAACATCATAATCCCATGGCAAAGGGCCCTGAACTCGGAGTGCCCCAAATACTGATCCATACATTAGCCAGTGATCTATTGCAAGCTCTTCAAGAGTCTGGTGAACTCTGTAAGTCAGATTTAAAAAATTCTCTACTTGTGTCTTGTTGAAGTATCGACATTTCGCAGGTTGAAAAGGATGTCTTCCAGTATAACTCGAATACCCTCTCATGCTAAAAAGGACGTAAAGTGTTGCCAAGCCTAAGGGTAATGTCAGCAAAATGATTGCATTGAAGGACTTGACGCGAGATGAGGGTCTTAAAGGCATAGTGTGCATCATCAATTCCTTGATCTGTTAAGGAAAGATAAGAACATAAAAGCTGTGATGCTGTTGATAAAGAAACGAAACCAAGTTGATGAGTTGAGTGGAGAAGGCTCGTCACGAATCTTTTGTTATATCTTGCTTAATTGTCATTTAAAGAAACGACATGTAAATGAATAAATACGACACGTAGACAAAACCTGTCAACATTTATAGGAAACTACTTGTGGGGGCTAAACCCTGGATAACCTTGGGCTCTATAACCAGCCAAAGCACTTCAAAACTTAACTCAGGAATTAAGCTAGAGTCGCTTTCGGCTATCGCTTCGGGAAACTCTTCCGCTTCTTTCGTGCTTAGCAACCTCCCGCGTGCATCCCTAACTCAATAGCGTACGCTTTAGAGTTTACCATTTGCCTTCTCGGATAGGACAAATAAATGGAGGTCCCGTCTCCTACAGGGTTAGGGGTAGGAGACGCTAATTTCCCACGCACGAGATTACTGTGTGATGGATGTCCTCCCATGGGGTGGGATGTGTGGGGGGAAAAGGTGAGGTCGCTGCATGGACTAGAGCAGCTGCCAGAGGCGCCTGATAATGCTGACATCCAATCTCAACCTTAGTAACACTGTAGACCTTAGCAATTCAGCCTATGCAGCTATTAAGGTATCAAATCATTCACTTTCACAATCAAAGGAAATACATAGCTCTTGTAATAATGGCCCTGTAACAATGGCTATAATGATGATTTCCATGAAAAATTATGACAACGATGACGAATTGCTTGTTGTATTGCTTTCGATTAAGATCATCAGCCTGATATATTTGTCGTTGTAATCATTCCTTAGAGGAGGAAAAAGCGAAGAATGACCCTAAGTACTACTTGAACAGAGCTAACAAAGACACCCTTGGTATTCTGAGTGAACTGGAGAAAACTTACAAAGAACCTGTAAGTCATCTGTGTGCCATTTTGTAGTCTATTTTACTGTATGACAACAATTCTAGTTATGCTATTGTTTGCCATTACAAATACAAGTAACATTTCATAAGTGCATTTAATTAATAAATAAATTTTTTTTTCAGGAGAAGAAGAATGCAGGGAAAGCGACTGAATCACTCACAGAGAGGAATGCTGTAAGTTTGCGGTGAAGTGTTTCCATACTACCCTTGAAATACTTGCAGTAAATTCTAATAATTATATCCCATTGAACTCTTAAAAAAGGCTTGTTGATGAGGCACCTTACTTTTTAAAAAATTGAGGTGCCTCTGCACCTAGTGTTACAATGCTTGACTGTGGGTGTAAGACTTAAACTTGCACTTAGATCATTATGTTGTTGTATAAATATTAACTATTTTGAATTGTGTTATGCAGGCTCACTATTCCACTGGTGCTGTAGCCAGCTCATTTACATCAACTGCACAAATACCTGTCACTCAACAGGAGGCAGGTATGTTCATTAAGATTAATCTTACTAGTTACATGTATGTCATTTTTTATACCTAAGGGTTTATACAGATCCTGGGAAACCTGGAAAGTTATTTTGACATTCTCCAGGACTGAAGAGTCCTGTAAAAAGACCACAAGTCCAGCAAAGTCCTGGAAATCTGCTTAGCTCAGGTGATAAAGTTTTCAGAATTAGCACTGTAAGAAATGTATGTTGACGGTAAGGAGACTTCGTTTGGAAGTCTTTGGAATGCAAGGGTTTTTAAGGTAGGTAGGCAGTGGGGCCAGGTGTGAAGGTCTTGGATTCAAGCCTCACATTGGTCCTCAGGTGGATGTGTTGCTTGGTGTTCCAATTGTAATGCAAACTGATTTGCTTCCTCCCATTGGAGTTTTTTTAAAAAACATGCTTCATTTGATTTAGATGAGTTGTTTGAAGTCATTTGATGGGGTGTTTATAATCTGCTTGGGCCACAGTGCAAACTACAGGTCATGATCAGTGGCAATATGATTATCCTTTACAGTCTTTTCTTTCTCTCCCAGCTGATGATCGCTTCTCGTGATTTTTATCATCTCTAAAAAAATTTTATTTATTTTCAGCTATTGTTGATCAGGATATAGTTAGATACAGAGAAGTTAAAAAGAAAGGTATGGCCATGACTTGTGTCTTTAACTTTGGACGTTTTTCTCGTATTGATAACAAATTTGAAGTATGTTGAGTGACAAAGTCGACTTCTCACACACCGCTGGTAGCCATGTCAAGCTGACCGCCGCAACCTGACCTTTATTGGAAATTCAAAGCTAATACAAGTAGCATACACTAAGACCGGAAATAATTAAAAAAGTTCCAGGCTAGTATATTATACTGGTATTGTATAAACATTTAAAATCTTTGGGTGGGTGGGCAGGAAAGTCGGCAATGGTGGACGCAACAAAAACAACTGCCTGCCCCATAGGTCACGTGACCTATACCCAGACCCCAGCGGCATGTGAGAAAAACATTTTTCACTTATTTCGTTCCACTCGGCCAGTGAAAAATTACTCTTGTTATTTGTAGTAACCAGTTATGTTCTTCTTTGTCAAGGTTATGTGAGACTACAAACAAATCATGGTGATCTTAATTTGGAACTTCACTGTGAAATGGTGAGGGCTGTCAACATTCTGAATTTCATCGATTCATTGATAGACTGATTCAGATAGTCTCTTGATCAACCATTCATTCATTTAATATTTATTCATTTATTATTGCACACATTTCCTCATAAAACAAACTTGCAATACATGTGTACATGTTTTGATCAATGATTCTTCTTAATATGTTTAAGGTTCCAAAGACATGCGAGAATTTCATAAAGCTCTGTGCCTCTGGTTACTATGACAACACAAGTGAGTTCACTGATCATTTTTTTAATACCAATATTTAGGCAGGCTTGTTTGCATCTCACCTTTTTGCATCAAAATAGGGGGGAAAAATTACACTCAGTTTAGGTGTAAAAGTTTGAATATCATACATGACAGCATGGCAGTGTGACAGCTATTTTTTTTTAAAAAAAATTCGAGGAAGTGTTCTGAGCTTGCAATATTGGTTGGTGATCATTTTTTGTGGGTTGTTCATTTAGCATGGATATTGTTCTTTCATTTTGTATAGCATGCTGGTAATATTCATTTTTTTGTCTTTGTTAGTCTTTCACAGATCCATTAAGAATTTTATGGTAAGTGGTGCCCCAATATTGAAAGCTACCCCCTTGATTACAATACAAATTGTCACTTCATGTGATTTATTACTTGTTCTTAAAATTGATTCGAGGATTTTAAACTTGTTCTTTACATAAAAATCTTGACATTCTCTGTTTACTCAAACTGTTTTTCCTAGATTCAAGGAGGGGATCCTACTGGAACAGGGCGAGGTACAGTTTTTGATTGACGCGACTCTTAGACCAAAAAAAAAAAAAAACTACAAGAAAGGAAACCCTTCATATTTCTTCCACAATTTTGTGTCTTCTTTTTCATATTATCTCTGTTCAAGATTTGGTCTTGTTGATGATGTGCCTAAGTTTTTCATCATTTAGTAAATTGCTCTATTATCGACTTTGGTTGGCAGGTGGCGAGTCGGCCTGGGGAGAGCCATTCAGAGACGAGTTCAAACCCAATTTGATACATCAAGGTGAGAATACTGAAGACGTGATTTTTCTACGACATAGGGTCAGTTGGTTTCATGGACGTAAGGTTTGACACCAAAAGCAACTTTCTTTTTTCATCAGGGAGAGGTATTCTAAGTATGGCAAATTCAGGACAGCATACAAATAAATCCCAGTTGTAAGTATCGCTCTTTGAGAAACCTTCTACCTTTTTTTTTCTTGTCAGGAAATCTTGAAACACTGACCAGAAAGCTCGCAACCTATTTGTCAATATACCATACATATATTGTCGGATAGTGGGCTCGAACCTAAGTTGAGTTTGCTTGACACTGCACGTGAGTGCAGTGGTACTTGTCGCTTTGAGTGTCTTTTTTCATAGAGAAGGTGCGAGAGAATAAAACGAAACGGTTGTGTTTATCGAAAGAAAACCTGAGATTGTGACTTCGGAATACTAAACTTCTACTGCCACGGAGGCATTCCCGGTACTGTTGAAAAAGAACTTTTTAAAAAATGAGAAAACTCATATTCTGATTTGTTTTTCCCAGCCTAGCTTACTTCCTACGTTCATTCAAAAATTCCTCTATACAAAAGTCTTTTCTTCTTCCTTGTAGCTTTATTACATATCGCTCCTGTCGTCATTTGGATGAAAAACATTCCGTGTTCGGCAGGTAATTATATCACTGTTTCTTTATCCTGCTGTGGTTGTTTTTGTCGTGTGTGTGTGTGTGTGTTTTTTTTCCATCCGAGGTTAATATCTCGGGGAACTAAGGACTTTGATGTTTTATACCATGGTAGACATCCAATTGCGTTCTGAGGTAGCTATTGATTTATTGTTATTTTTTCTGCCTTTAGATTGGTTGGTGGGCTCGAAACATTAAGCGCTTTGGAAAGAGTTGAAACTGATGAGAAAGATCGACCCAAGGTATCAGTATGTAAAAGAATCAACTAACATTCAAAGAAGTTTAGTCCATGACTGAATGTTAAACACGGTTGCTGACTGCTGAACGACGTTACTTGGCTTGGCCTCGCCTCATATAGCATCAATATTTTGACAACTAGTTTATGTGTTTCGTTTCTCACCCTTACATAATGTAGTCTTGCATCAGGAAGCACACCTTATGTTTCATACCCTGTATGTTTTAGGAAGTGATCAAACTTATCAAGGCCACGGTGTTTGTGAATCCTTTCGAAGAAGTGGATGCAGTGGTCAGTGGCATTCTTGCGCTTTTTTGAAGAAAATCCTAACATCTAAAACAAAATAATCACAACAGCCATCCAGTGTTTTCCCTTATTTTATGCACGAAAAAGGTAAAAGAGATTTTAAACCGTTAGAGCTATCCTTTTACCTGTTCAGTGTCCGATTTTAGACATTTGTGTCCGATTTTGGACACTAGTGTCCGCTTTCGAACGCCAGTGTTCGATTTTAGACACAAGTATGTGATTTTGGACACTGGTGTTCGATTTTAGACACAAGTATGTGATTTTGGACACTAGTGTCCGATTTTAGACACCAGTGTCTCGATTTTGTACACTAGTGTCTGATTGTAGACACTAGTGTTCAGAACAAAGGGAAATATTACAGAGAGGGATGATGGCTCAAATCACGATTGGCTTTAGTTTTTTATTTGACTGGTCGGGAAAATGCTTTGAAGTTCTTAGACCAATCACAGGAGGTTAAGTAAACCAAGGTTATCCGGGATTTCGGAAATCGTGTTTATATTATTTTCAGCTTCAAAAAGAGCGAGAGAAAAAGGAAGAAGAAGAAAAACAACAGGTAAATTTGGAAAGTGTTTTGTTCCCAACAAGTCCTGGTTTGGTTTATACAGTTTATAATCTCTTGGTCCATGTTGTTTCCAAGTTTTTTTTGTCCTATCAAAAAAATCGAATGAACGCAGGTATAACTTCAAGCTTAAGTAGAACACTTGGATTTGATTGTTAATTCTCCCCACTAGCATATCTCTTTGTAAAAGTTATGAGAATTTCGTGTTGGATCACGTTGACAATTTTCACCTGATAAGTTTGAGTATTCTCATTACCTGTTTACTGGATAATGTATGGACATTATAGGGAGAAGTTACATTTTCATCACTTCTGGGAGTTAAATGGTTAATGTCAACAGCTGATTAAGGATGAAGGTTTCCCAGGTTTGTGCTACAACGAGCGGTAGATGCTTGTTTGGTAGTCAAACAACTATTGATGATAACAATGGTAACGAAATTAAACACCTGAATAGTGGATTGGAAAATGAACTTTGTTTAGTGATCACTGTACAGTTCGTCTACAATTTGTTACTCGAAGCAGATCATAGGAACTATCCTTCTTTTTTTCATGCGTTTAGGAAGAAGCCGCCCGCAAAAAAGAAGCAGCTGCCACGCCAGCAGAAGCACCGAAGGTTTACCGGTCTGGAGTGGGGAAATATATTAAACAGAAAACAGCCTCAAGGTATGATACGATATATTCGTTTAAAATTTTGTTCAAAATTAGCTGGTGAGCTTGAGATGTTGTTGAAAAGTAATCATACGTTTAAAACTCAAAATACTCCCATCGAAATGCAAGATTGCGGCTTCTAGGTTTAGAAAGGAATTAGGAAAGACAATTCTTTGTCTACTTTCGAGAGTATCCAGTATTTCTGGAAGTTGCTTCAGCCTTTATGTTTCTTGCGAGAGACACTACCATCGCAGTTCTTTTTATTCAATATTTTTGCCCAATTTTTTCAGGGATGCTGATACCGCTGACCTCACCCCGCAACAATCAAAGAAGAAAATTAAAGTATCTGGGGGATTCAAAGATTTCAGCTCGTGGTAACACAAGGATGGCAGGTAATTCCGGTAAAGACATTCCACTCGTTCGTCCGTAAATTAAGGTGGCTGAACACAGTTTTCGCGCGCGCTTTTGCTGATGCAATTCAGCGCGCGCACAAGGATTGGAAAAAACAAACATGCCGTCAATAGAGCAGTCATTTTATTTACTCAAAACGTACCCGCACTATCTGTGCTATTTTTCTCTATAGTTGGCGCAGTGTATCGAGGGCTTTGATCTTTATTACAAAGATATGTTAGAAAAGTTAACGATGCAAAGAACCCAGCAATTCTCAGCTTTTTCGTTATTACTGAAAGAACCCAGTTAAATGCAGCGCATGCGTAGTAAGTAAAAAAATTGCGACTAAATGGAAAATTGCTTTCTCGAAAATATGCTTATTTCTTGAGAACCACTCTTTAGAATTTCACGAAATTTGGCACGAAAATACTTTAGGAAATAAGTAACTGGAGTATTGAAAAAATTTGATTTTAAACGAAGGAAATTCTAGAAAATCGAGTGAACCTTCAACAAGGGATAATTGAAGATCTCTTTGTTAAATTGTAAGCAAAATGGTGTTAACTTGTGAGTATCGTTACAAGCTTGTTGCATGCAAGTTATAAAGAAAATCTAATGACTAGATTTTCTCCAAATAAACAAAACCGATTTTAATTGCCTGTTTATATCTATTCCCGTCGCCATGGCGACGGGACATACGTCAGCTGAACTATCAAAAAAAACAAAGTTTGTGTTGTTAACTTGCTGCCAGTTTTGGTGACCGAGAGATCAAGGGTTTTAGAGAAAATGGTGAAAGAAACAAATGTATCAAAAACTGTGTTCAGCCACCTTAAAAGAAGTACATTTGCTTTCCTGCTGCTAGTGGAAAGTCGGGGAGTCAGGTTTTTGCAGTCTTTTGCTATCAAACCTTGCAAGACTGGGAGCCATGGAACATAAACCGGAAGTGAAGCTTACCACGTCCATCAGGGTGGTTACTTTGAGAGAGAGCTGTTCAACGGCAAAAAATCTTAACCAGCCAAATTTAATTACAAGTTATGGGTGGTTTGACGGTCTATATCCTCAAAGAAATTTTAGTGGCTTCTTTTGATAGGATGTGTGAACCAGCCTCAAAATAAACTGCTGTTTACGTCTGTTCGCTTTGTACAACTGTAAAACAGTATTTTTTCTTTAAATCTTGCCAATTTGATGATTAACTTTTGTCAGTTGTGAATACTCAAGCTGTACAAAGCTATATGTAATAGTGCTCTTACTGTACAACTTGTGATTATTACTTAAGTACTATCAATTTTTTGTTACATGCTATGACAAGTATTCCATTCAGATTCATCTCCCAAGTCGTGCCAGGTCAATAGCTAACTGGCCATCGTTCAAAAGATCTTGCAAAAAGTAATCGTATGTCTCCATAAGTTGGATGTTTTTTTTTTTTTAGTTTTTTTCGTTTGGCCTGCATGCTAAGAAAGCAGCCTTCGGGAAAGGTGATCGGTTGCGGTCCCTATTGCTGATTATTTCCTCCCAATCCTTTATTCATCTCTTCACGTATAATTTAATTCGAAGCGGAGAAGTCGATTTCAGGCGAAGATTTATTTTTAAACACTTTTGAGATTATTTTTCGGTTGAAAAGGCGCGATGGTTCGTGAAATGCTCTCTAGACGCGTCTTAAACGCAGTATATACTCAGACATCACGCGCGCAAGATTTGAGTCTCCCCAACACCCACCATGCTGTTTTTCAATACTGTAAGTCAGTCACCCGAAAGCTTATCTTAGACTTATATTTTTAAAATAAAAAACCTTAACAAGATGTCAATGAAAAGTTGACTATTTATAAGCGTTCTGTGTTCAAGTCAGCTAGAGGAATATCGTTATTTCACCTCATTTTACATTTCGTGATCAAGCGGCCAACTTCACAGTGACGTGTGTCACGTCCTCTAAGCCACAAAATGTAAATTTCGCAGAACGTGGAATTGATTTAATTTATCTCGTGACTGAAACTGAATTTATTTACACAAAACCGTGTAGTTTATAACTTCATTTTTTTCAGTGAAGCGTGTCAGATTTAAAAGGATTGTGAGAGATGATTGCAGTAAAACTCTTCGAGAAATAAAAATAGCGTGCACTGAATCACGTATTTACAACAGTGCAAAAAAGAAACAAAACAAAACGCTGGTTGATGAAGACATTGAATCCTTTCTACTTTAGTTCCTTCGAATGTTACTGTTTTAACATTAAAAAAATTCTTTAAGAATGAGGAAAAGCGTAATCCAAATTAAATTGTGTGACTTTTTCAGGCCAGGAATACTATGATCACTGTTGCGTGTATAAGGAACTTTTTTTTAAGGGGATTCATGTTTTGAATCACTCTAAAAGTCACGCTACTGTCACAACGGGAAATGTCACGTAGACACCAGATATTTTCGTACAATTTTTTTTCGTTAACTTTCATGTCAAACGTATTTTTAATTGACCCTTTTTTAAAAGTATGGGTTAAAATCAAGGAAATTAATCGAATATGATTCATCCTTTGGTGAAATAAACGCAAATGCGTTTTCGTGATTAAAAAATCGTGTCGGTTTCGTGATAAACCCGCGGAAAACATCTCAGTTTTGAAGGGGTTGCTTTAGTATGCAAATTACTCGTTTACTTTAAATGTATGGCTCTGAGGAATAAAAGTTTCAGATTACCTCACGCATGAACGAGTCAACCTCGTTCGACTTCTGGGCATCAACTTCCGAAGAAACCATGGAACAGTTGACGGTAAAATACCACATTTTTTGTTGCTTTATATCCAGGAAATCGTTGTATAAAACGGTGTTTATTCGAATTGCGAGCTGAATACTCGGATTTTTCCTCCAACTTTGAGTTAACCTTGCAATCGCAAATTCGGCTCGAAATTATTCTGAATTTTTCCCTCGGAAATTACTCGGAAATTGTTAAACCTTTGTAATGAATATGACTTCCTGGTTAATCTGGTTCTCAATTTTTCTCTTAAAAGAAGTTGTCGTTTTGCTGTTTTGAAAATATTTCTCGTTCACTACTAAATTTCATATGTATTTAGGTGGCTGACACAGTTTTTGATACCTGTGTTTCTTTCACCATTTTCTCTAACACCCGTGATCTCTCGGTCGCCAAAACTGGCAGCAAGCAAGTTAACATCCCCAATTTTTTTTCGATAGTTAAGCTGACGTATGTGCCGTTGCCATGGTGACATGAATAAATATGAACAGGCCTTTAAAATCGGTTTTGTGTATTTGTAGAAAATCTAGTATTTAGATTTTCTTTATAATTTGTATGTAACGATACTCACAAGTTAACACCATTTTGCTGACAATTTAGCTGAGAGATCTTTAATTATCCCTTGTTGAAGGTTCACTCGATTATCTAGAATTTCCTTCGTTAAAAATTAATTTTTTTCAATACTCCAGTTACTTATTTCTTAAAGTATTTTCGTGCCAAATTTTGTGGAATTCCAATGAGTGGTTCTCAAGAAATAGGCATATTTCCGAGAAAGCAATTTTCCATTCAATCGCAATTTTTTGACTTAGTACGCATGCGCTGCATTTAACAAGGTTCTTTCGGTAACGACGAAAAAGCTGAGAATTGCTGGGTTCTTTGCACAGTTAACTTTTCTTACATGTCTTTGTAATAAAAGATTAAAGCCCTCAATACACTGCGCCAACTGGAGAAAAGTAGCACAAATAGTGCGAATACGTTTTGAGTAAATAAAGTGATCGCTCTATTGATAGCTCGTTTGTTTTTTGAAATCCTTGTGCGCGCGCTGAATTGCATCAGCAAAACCGCGCGCGAAAACTGTGTTCAGCCACCTTAAATCAGAGTAGTTGAACATAATTGTCACAGAATAAAAGAATGTAGTTAGAAGAAAACCAAAATAATTAAATCTGAACCCCTCATTCTATATATTAAAGTGACATAGGAACCCGAAATTGAAACCGTGTTTCAAAAATTAATGACAAATTTATCTTGTATTGGCATTTCTCTCAGCTCCCGACGATAGTTTCTCTCAATGTTGGCGGACATTTCTTCACCACTCGCCTTTCCACGCTTTTGAAGGACGAAGGTTCCATGTTAGCTGCCATGTTCAGTGGGCGATACAAAGTTGAAATGGACAAAGAGGGAAGATATTTTATTGATCGTGACGGAAGATACTTTGGATATATCTTAAATTACTTACGTGACGCGTCACTTCCAAAACCATGCGTTGCGTTACAAGTGTACCGCGAAGCGGATTATTTCCAGTTAGAGCAACTTGTTCGTGAGCTTGAATGTTATCCATCACTTATCCCACATATTGTTATAAAAGAACAGAAAAGAGACTTAGCAGAAAGTTATCACCATTGGAAACGCGTCCTTTTAGAAACTACACAACGAAAATTTCACAAATTTGTCAAATTCGCCGTTGGTCGTGATTGCGTGATAACTGTCACGCGATACGCTTCTAAAAAGGATTGCAGTCGTAGTGAAGGTGTCTGCAGAAGTTTTATCTCCCTTAGTGACGATACGAAAAATTATCAAAGTCATCAGTTCTTCAGCGTTAACGACACTGGAGAGAAATTAGAGTATTACATTGGTTCCCATCTTCCAGCGGTTGATTTTATTGTCCCCAATGAAGAGATATCAGATTGTCATCAGTTTACGTCATTGGTAGAAAAAGATCTGCGCCTGGAAGGGTTCTGTGTCAGCGGAAGTTTATCGCATGCGTGGAAGTGTGTTCTGTGTGATATGACAGGAACTCTTCACCAATTAGCTTTCAAGTGGGTTCTTCCATATCCGAACACGGACAGCGAGAAAATAATGAAACAGTTTTAAAGAATATTTTTCAATAATGACTTTAAGGAGCAACATTTTAAGTTATGCAAACAAGGACATCTTCAGAACGCTAAACCATTTTATTTTGCTTGATTCCGTTAAAGAACTAAGTGTGGAAAACTTTGAAGGATTTTAATCCTTAAAGCTTATATGCATAAGTTTGCTAGCTGGTTCCAATTGTAATTTTCAGTGCCACGGAAAATGTAAGCACTAATTTTTTAGGCCTGATTTCCACCTCTCGATTTCTACCTCAATAACAGAAGCAGTTTGACTATCTTGCTACTTAGCTATCTCTTTTGAGATCAATCTCGTTTTCAGAGCCTGGGTTCCATTTTCCAGCGGGGTAAAAAAAACGAGGACTCTGGCAATATTATCGTTTTGAAATAAGCTAAAAAAATCTCCAGCTCAAACCAGAAAAAAGAAAAAAACAAAAACAACCAGCACGATGTCACTCCTCGCTGCGGTAGTCTGACAGGCTCAAACTTGCCCAATCGGTTACCCAACCGGAAGTAAAAGCTACATTTCTCCAAGTAGGGGTCGGGTGAGTGGAAGGATAAGAAGTAAATATTCTAAATCTTTGAAATGGTCTCTAATATAAAGCGAAACAAAATTCAGTAACTTGTGCTTGCAGGTTTTTAATATGCTATCTTGGTTCAAAGATTTATTGCTTTGATTTCCCAAGTTTCGCCTTACCTTACCCCTCCCCTGGAAGTGAAACATTTTGTTGCGCGAAAGCGCGATATATAAACATGATAATTTTCCGAAGCCGACACAAACGTCGAAACAGCAATATGGCAAGCGTAGGGAGCGTCTGTTCTCGACGGAAACTCGTAATTTTTGCAAGCGAATTAGCCAGTGCCATTGGACGGCATAGATATCAATCCAGAGAAGAAACATTTCAGCGAGTTTGGCTTCGATCGCATCAGCAATCATTCGTTTTCGCGTTTGCTTTGAGGTTCCAAAGAGACGTTCGTCCGATCCTGGCAGGTTCAGAGGAATTGTTGATTCAGTTTCCATCTTTGGAAAAAGAAGACGACATCGTCGATTTCGCTACCGTTGTAAGAAAGGTGATCTGTGACATGTCTTTCAGAAGATTGTATGGGCAGATTCTGAATTTTTTGAGAGAAAAGTTGTTGAAAAACAACAAAGAAGAACAAATCCTCGTGTCAGCAAAAGTGATCGAAGAAGTTCGAACTGAGGTGAAGACACTTTGTGAGAACGAAGAAAAACTCGTGGAATCTGCTGTGAAAGAAATTTGTGAGAAACAAGGACTCAACACGAAAGAAGTTGTCAAAGCAGTGGAGTCCAGAATTACTAAGGATCGCGGAACAATATTAGAAGGCAGAGCTGTGCAAGAGTTTGAGAAAGCGAAAGGGATCGAAATCGAACGTCCGGTCGCACCCCATCTGTTCTACAGGGATATGGAGTACAACGGAGTACAGTGGAGTGTATGTGGTAAAGTGGATGCCGAGACAGAAGATAGCGTTATTGAAGTTAAAAACAGAAGAAACCGATTTATGTGCCCAGAGTATGATTATATACAGCTCCAAACATACTTATTCATAAGGAGTAAGTCCAAGGGTGTCTTGCTGGAGAGATTGAAAGGTGAAAACAAAGAAACCTGTTTTGAATTTGATGATGAGCTCTGGGAAGAAGTGACCAATGACTTAGCTGAGTTTGTTGCTGAACTGTCAGATGCCATGAGCATGAGTAAAGAGGCATTGTATGGGTATTCATCACCAAGGAAACGAGGTCATGTTCAAGTGGGAGAAGCTATCGAAAAAGTTGGTAGGCAGGCAACAGATGAAGCGCAAGTGAAGAAGATTGCTGTGGAAAGAGTGGAAGAAGCTACCAATGTTACTGAGATACAGGATAATAATAATAATTAGAGATGTTTGAGAAAACAGAGCTCCTTTAATTTTACACTTTTATGTCACTTGAGTGAACTTGAATCGTGTGTAACTGAGTGTACCCCATCCTAAGACCCTACCCCATCATCTCAATTTTACATATCCTTCTGCACTAGAGGGCACTTAACAGGGTGTACTATTCTTCTGACGCCCCGAGAAAGGCAAAAGTGAGTATCATTACTGTAGGTTATATAGTACATACCAGTGGGATTTCTTTGATTGAGATTGCAAACGTTTTTTCATCATAATCAAGAAAAAAATTTACAATCTATACTGATCAAAGTGAGTTGTAATTCTGTTAGAAATTTATGCCTAGAGTAGTTTGTTATTATTTAAATCCATTAGCTTGCATCATAGATAAACTCCACTGCAAATCTGCCAGCTAAAAGGACTTTGGTTGACATTATTTAATTTAAAAAAAAATCTTTTACTCCTGGACTTAATGTTACGAATTTTTCAATTTTGGCTGGGCAAATGACATAAATTAGCAAGAAATCACAAAGTTAATGAGAATAGTTCTTTATTTCTAGACCTCACATGCACTGCAGAGATATACACCCTGATCATTTTAACTTATTGTTAAATGGAGACTACAAAATCATAAATTCATCACATCACATAGTGTAAGCTATTTATTGTTTAGATTTACATGTAGATGATGTATTTAGAATTCAGATTTAAAATACAACTTTTTAGATTTTTTAATTCTAATCTACTTCAGGAAAATGTGTTGCAACGAAGAAATGTTAACAAAATAATTTTGTCTTTTATTAAATAAAATCACTGTAGGCTAGTAGTTTACAATATTTTCAGCACATGAATTATTACAGTATGGTTACACAGATGTTCTTAGGAGTAAATTCTTTAGAGTGAATGATAATCTACTTAGAGAGTTTTCCAATTATTCCTAGAGGATGTGTTCTACTTAAAAAAAAAAATGCTTATTAGCTTCTTTAAACATTTTTTTTACTCTACTTGATAGATGCTCTTGACACAACAAATCTTAAGAGTATACAGGATACTTGTTACATATAAGTTCAGTACATGGCCTAACTCAAAAACAAGCTCTTTGTAACTCAGTGAGATCTTCAGACCACAAATCTGAAGGTCTATGTTTCAGGCACTCACTGTGGACTCAATTGTTTTCTTTTTCATTTTTCTTTATATTTTTTGTTATTATATGGGAAGGTAGTCTTGAGGTAAATCTGAGTGTTTTGATTGGTTCTTACTTGGTCTGGATTTTGCCATACAGATTGTTCCCACAGAAACAGTCATGAGCCATGTATTTTTGTTTTCCAAAGTTTGCAAATTCAAAATAAAAACATTTAGTAGAAGTGCCATAAAATAAACTACTAACTATACCCCGGTAAGCTCACTTGCTTGGGCCATACTGGGCAATATTTGCCCTCAGTTGTTACAGTACAGTTTGGCTCTTGTGCTCAGTAAGTAAGAAGTTATTCTAAATTTCTATAAAATATTGTTTAGTCACTTATTTTGAACCACATGGCCTTTTTGATTTGTGGCATTTTTCTCAAAGTCTGCATTTAGTTGGAATCACACAAGTATATTTAAATAATTGTTAAACTTGGTTGAATGAAATTTCCAAGCCCTCTAGGCTGACCCAACAACCTTAACCATTATTTTATACTATTTTACATCTGTATTGAATAAACAGATCAAAACTTCAAGTCAAACTACACCTACCAATGTAGTTTTTGTTTGACCATAGCTTAACATCTAAGCAAACTAGTGACTATCAATAAATAACATTTTAACTGCCATGAGTGATCAAGACAGAATTTCTCCTTACATTATCAATACAATATCAAGCAGATGAATAATGAGAAAGAAGAAATATATCAACTGAGGGATTATTAGATGATCCAATACTAACTTCTCCAAACTAACATCAAGAATTGTATGGCAGACAGTAAGGAGAATTTACTAATGAGATCATGGCAGTGAGAGGGTGAAAGTTACATTGAAAATGTCCGACTATAGTTTGAAGATCAACTCAAATCTGTTTAATCCTTTTTAATCAGTTCACTCCTTTCACTTCCACTAGCAGCTGGCACAGGCTGCCCAGGATTTGTGTTGCTAGTGCACAGATAGTCTCGGAGTCGTGTGGGATAATCTGTCATGACACCAGCAACCTTGAGCTTGTTAAAGGCAAAATCATACTCACTGTCTTCATTAAGTACCCATAAGTAGGTCTGTTGAACAAAATATAATGTGAATTAGTAAAAGTCTGTATTTTATATACATTTAGGGAATTAAATTTGTACCTTGAGGCCTGTTTTGGGTGACAAATTTAGTGAAGGAAGGATTACTTTGTAGGTTCTAAAAGTACAATGAAGGTTTTCTTTTAAAAATGTCCACAATAAGTTTGAAGTGAAATAATGATCAGCATATTCACTGCCAGTAAATTGTTTTTTTGTTTTCTTCAAAGCCCATAACTATCTATGTTAAACCTGATTATTCTTCCTAGTTTAATTCTTGTTGTTGACATGTACAGTATTTATTTGTCAAAATCTCTGAGAATCAAATGGTAAAAGGTTTGGCAATCCTTGTGAACTGGGGTACACAGCTGGCCAGATTTTCATTCCCACTTAACTTAAAAGTAGGACTGGATATGTTATAAGATGAATTGCATAGTTATTATTTTACCCATTTTATAAAGTTACAAACCTGAATTCCTCTCTTATCCAAATGTTTAAAAAGGATTGGGCTGATTAAAAACCTAAATACAAAAAATAAAAGTTAATTTAATAGAAACCAAGCCAAAATAAATTCTCCCATGTATCCAAAGTTACTTAACATGTTTTTTTTTCTGTTTTTTTTTCTTTTTGTTAACTAATTAACATGCTGATATGTCCTCTTTCACTCACCAGTCAACTATATGACACAGGATCTTCATAGTGCGAGGTACTTCAAAACGTCTGTGGTATAACAAAAAGGATGATTGAAACCAAAAAGTGTAAATTGTACCAACAACTTGTCTATTCCCAAGCCAGAAATTACAAACTAAAAGTTACATGTAAAAAGGTCTCCAGAAAATTCTTACCAGAATTATAGACTGGAATGTTTGATTGCTCTTAACCACAAAGAGTGACAAGCATCTAATACCATTACAATACCACACATTAAGGTCATAAGATTAATGACAAATGATCAACAACTACAGAAACTCTTGATTTATAAGCAAATTCTCCTTGTCAGCATTTTAAGAAATGTATAGAGAATAGTGCGGAGAATATGCATGCATCCTGATGCTAGGAAGTAAGGGCTAATACCACCCTTTTCTCAATGTACTTTCCTTTTTTGCTCAACACTTGCTTACCTGATCATTGTGAGAGGTAACATGATCTCTAGGAAAGATTCCTTGATAGGAATAAATGGCAGTAGTCCAGAATAAAACAAAAAGACCAATGTGGCACAACGCTTCATTGAAAACATGATGGGAATTTCTGGATCCTGATTGGAATTAAACAAAAG